CGTCTCACGGAGAGTTCGCAGAGTGTTCGCACGGTCGCGATTACAAAGCGTGGAAAGAGGGAGAACGTGTACGAAGACTTCGGAACTGACATAATTGGCGATTAAATGCAGTGAGTCAGCCAAGCGACGAAAATTTAGGAAATAGAAACGACAGACGGATGAAAGAAGAGAAGAAACAGTGAACTGAAGTGAAGTTGCATAGACAGTGTACTTTACAGTGATTCCCAAGTGTATGATTTAAAATAATAAACCTATTCTTAGGAGCGTTTTAAAACGTATTTGTCCGTGAGAAAGAGACGAGAAATTGGTGTAGAGGCATGAGCTGGTATCTGAACTGATCGACACCGCAACTGCAACCGTCTCGTCCATCACGATGATGAACGCTTTCCTGGATGGAGTGTCCTCGCATCCACACCATCTGGCCAATCTGGGCATCAAGCTATCACCCAGTGGTGGTGATGCCACGGACGCTGGTACAGGTGTGCAGCCGGCACCAGGTGAAGCTCCGTCTCAGCAACACCATCACTTTCACCCCCAAGGCTATCCCCCTCATCATCCCCATCCGGCATCGCACATGGCACCGCACATGGGACACCACATGAGCCATCATCCTGGATACGCGGCACGTGATTTTCTCCTCCGCCGCGAGCACGAATTCAACGCGACCGCGAATCCGACCACGCCGGAAAGTGGTCTAGGATTGTTCACACCTTTACATCACGACGGGACAGCCGCAACGATGCAGCAGTTTCCTCATCATCCGAGCCAACATCCCCTGGCAGCGAGTCACTATCCAGGACACTATCCCCAAGATTCGAGACTACCGCCTCATCATCAGTATTTAAGTGCTCCTCATCTGACGCCAGCGTCGATCCATCATCAACAACATCCAGCCGTCAGCCATCCAAGCCATCATCCTCACGGTGCCTTTTTAAGGTATATGAGAAGCAACGGAAGCGGCGGTGGCGGAACCAGTGGGGTTGCAGGCGGCCAACGGCAAGAAATGTCGTGTATGTGGGTAGATCAGGATGCACCCGGACCCGGAAGGAAGTTGTGCGGCAAACTCTTCAACTCCCTCCACGATATCGTGACGCACCTCACGGTGGAACACGTGGGCGGTCCCGAGTGCACCACGCACGCGTGCTTCTGGCAGGGATGTTCGCGTAACGGCAGGGCCTTCAAGGCAAAGTACAAACTTGTTAACCACATAAGGGTTCACACCGGTGAGAAACCCTTCCCTTGCCCGTTTCCCGGCTGCGGAAAAGTCTTTGCCAGGTCTGAGAATCTTAAAATTCATAAGAGGACGCACACCGGTAAGTGATGTACATATTATATACCTCCTCTTAGGACTATAGATGTCTGTTCATCTTTCACAAGTACGTTTGCACTTGTTGCTTGTTACTTTAAAACGAAACCTATAATTTTTAGGTCTTTAGACAGATTCCTTCCTAACTGTGTTTCGAATGTTTCAAAAAAAATACCTCCAATTCCTTGTAGAAGCGTTGTCATCCGATACAAATCAATCGCGATACCAAACCTCTCGTAACATCCTGAAATTCTACCGAAGCTAGATGATCGTGGAAAATCGCGACAAATCGTAGCCGGATATTGGCTAGTTAGAAGGAATCGAAACGGTGGGAAGCTAATTAATTCGGGAACGATCGCCTACATCGCGTGCAAGAGAAAACGGAAGGGGCACCGAACAAAGAAAGGCAATGAAGTCGATGGAAATCGGTCGATTTCCAGCTACAAAAGGGTTAAACGCCAGAGACGTATAAATAAACGGCCGAAGCAGTTACTATCGCCTTCCCCTCCACCTTCCCCTATCTCGGCTCATTTTGGTCCAGCCTTCGCTTCATCCATGAAACGCCCCCGGCGCCTCGAGTCGTTTCAATATAATCAACCGGCTGTTTACGATGACAAGAATTTTTCGGGGCGCAATTAAGAAATTACCGGGCCATATATCGTAGCGTTTTATGCCCGCGTCCCTGGACAATGTATTTACATATGGTTATATACACACACGAAACGAAACCACCAGCCTGTCCCATTGGCTCAGGGCCCGACGGATAGACGCCAGGCGTCCAGCCAGCCACACGGATCTTTCTCTCACGACCGGCTGCTGTTACGAGATTCCTTTCTGGACAGTCACTACTAATTTCACCTTGTAGTTTTATTGTCCGTCCGTCCGTTACCACGACGACCGTGTCTGCGTGCTGGAGCAACGTCCTTTCGTTTTTATCCCTTCGTTTTTCATTTCAATTTATCTCTCTGGAGGAGAATACGCTCGTCTCGCGGACGATCCGCTCCGCGATTCGGTTTCTCGAAACGCCTCGTGAAACCACGGGGACGCGTAAATCCATTAGCGAGTGCATCTGCCGCTAGACGGACGTCGTTACTTGATTATACTTCGATATAGTAATCGAGGGGAGATTTTCTCTTCTTCGTTCTTGCGTAGAATGATTAGCGTCGGATTTGTTGTTTTTCATTCGAGACGGTTTAGAAGCATTTTAGATTTTTTTGGCAGAGGGGTTAATGCGATTGATGTAGTAAAATTAATGTAGGGAAATTATAGTTGGAAGGTTATATGGTTAGAAGCGCGGGCTCTTTAATGATCAACGCCGCGAGCGAGAATTCAATTAAGGGTCTCGGGAACGTAATATTGTATCGCTTCTGATCGCATATTTTAGCGTACCAACGCTTCCCCAGTATTTCCGTTCGCACGGATTTCACGCCAGCAGCGTCTGTCCGCCCCCGTGTATCGCACAGTGCGCTTCTGTTTCTACCTCGAATCGAGCTATCTGTCGCCGTCGCCTGTCAATCATACGTGACTCGCGCGAGCTAAATCTCCTTCGACAATTGCCAGACGAAATCAGGTGTGTCTCGTATGATTTTCCCTAATACATCAACCATCTTTAACGGATTATAACACTATATGCATTATATACTATTATGTAACGTATATATAATGCGTTAGACTACGTATTATCACGCTATACACCGTTTCGTAATTGAAGAGCAAAAGCAAACAGACCAAATGTTATCTGACTCGAAGGAAAAAAGACATTCTTATATCGATTTTGATTAAGAACAGTAATGCCATTGTTGTGAGTATGAGACGAAGATTCATACACTAGGTTCTTAGTCTTCCTACTTTTTTTTATTCTCGATCCGGAGGATGGAAATTTGAAAATCCTTGTCAGGCTTTTGCACAGACTGGAGAGGTAGGCTGACTGTGAAGAAAGAAATCAATTAAAATTCATTTAGTTGGCGCGTTGGTGAACGAGCGTGGTCCTCCTGCGAGCCCTTTCGAAATAAATTGGCATTTTCAAAAAACTTTCCACGCACGGCTTCACGCTTTGTTTCCAGGCGTTCCCCGTTTCACGCGCGTGTACGCTCACGATGCCCCTTTATTGCCCTCGCCCTCCACCCTTCTTTCATCGTTCTGTACCGCGACCGGCGCACAAAAGCGACTCGACGCTGGAATTCTTTGTTTTTTATCGTGGAAACACCTCGGACAAATATTTTGGCTCGCGCGAATTCACCGGTGTTACGCAACAATCTCCGTGAACGGGCACCGATGTTATCCGCCCATTTTACGTAGAACACAGTGGTTCCTGTATTTATACAAACTTGAAATATACAAAACTAAAGAAAATATACAAAATATACAAAACTGCTCGTTACAATATTTAGAATGCGAAATAAATTCGCAACTTGTGCCTGTAAAACTATTCTACGCAAATATCCGCAATCTATAAATAATTTCCAAAAAAGAAAAAATCCCGGTGGATTATTTTACGGTAGAAGTTCTTAAACCATTCTCAAAGAAGCTTTCCGGTGAAAAAGTACCGCGCTCGCAAGTTTCTACAAGACTTTAATCCGCAAACAACCGTTTCCAAACACTTCCTCGCCGTTCCTTACCCTCTTTAACTTAAAGATCTAAGCTCTCCTAAGATTCGATTTAAAAGTATAGGAATATGCAAATTCAGTAGTAGATATAACACAAGAATTAACAATCACCAAAATGCTACTTCCAAATAAAAAAAAAAGTATAGGAATTACGATACTTTGATTTAACGGGAATGAATTACAGGGGTGTAATGGCCGTTTACGCGAAAACACCGATGATTACGCAGTAACACGTTGGCGTCTCGTTTCGCGTATTATACAAAGTTGGACAATGATCGCGTGCGGGCGGGCGTGCGTTAAAAACCGTCGGGCATAAGGAATGCTCCTATTAATTCGCAGATGTGACCCGTTGGAACGGTGTCAGCCATTAGGCACAAATTGATATGCATTATAAAGAGACTATCCTCGTCGACAATGAAGGATGAGACGAGAAAAGTAGACAGAGATAGGAGGACAAAAAAGAAGAAAAGATAGAAAGAAGAATAGCGTTGTAGCGCGTCGAGTCTCGTATATGCGTGTTACGAGTCGCGACGATTGGTCGGATCGACAATGGTTTCCCCCTAGGACGAAGCGCCATTGGTCAGGATTTTCGGGGGGTTAGAGACGCGTTGAATAAGGGGATGATACAGGATGAGTCGTCGCCGGGGGTTGTTGTGGAATAAGCGTTAAGTAGGGACGAGCATGTCGAAGATAGAAAAAGGGGGACTGGTCCGAGTAAATGGCTTCGCCGCGCCGACGAAACGGAACGATTGAAAATTTTCCCCCGTCCTCGTAGACGAGGTCGACACGCTCGTTTGCATGGGAAGAAATTTCGCTAAGTTGATTGTCTCCGCTCTTCTCGCTATTTTGTAAATAATCCGTGAATCGTCTTGTTGAATGTACTGAAAGAGGGAGGATCGAACCGACCAAAATTGATTTGGACTGTTGCATGATTTCTGCGAACGATCAGAAGCATCGTTATATTCGTGGAAGTTACGAAATCAGGAAGAATCCTGTTATCTAAATGTAAGTGAAATCATTACCACCCAATGACAAAATCCGCAATCACTTAGTTGCCAACCCAATGCAAGGGAAAACTCAGGAAGGTCGCGTGGAATTTTTAATTCGAGAAAACAACGACAATCGGGAAGGTATTTTACAAAAAATACTAGGAATATGGCAGGAAGAATTATATAAAGAGAAATACGTATAGAAAAATAGATAAGAAATCTTCAAAGGGATCCAGGTAGATGTCGAGACTTACGCGAATAAGAAAAACAAGTATTGCAAAAATTGAAAAAATAACCAGTGTAAGAACATGAAATTTGTTTTTCTTTTTTATTTGAAAGTGGTTAAATCTTTTCTCATTGAGAATTATAAGTAAATTATTATATAAGTACTATAATGCGAATAACAAATGATTATCGTATGTTTGGTTCTAGCTGAATCTAATGTTTAAATCTAAAGGGCAATTGTCTTTTTAACCTGCGGATCTGATCCGTCGTGTCAAGTAATTGAGTAACTAGTGGGTTTTGGTGTTTATTAATTCTTATGTTACATCTATGATAACATGAAATGACACGGAAGAATGAACGACCTCGAAGGTTAGAACGTGGGGGGACACGAAAGAATAGGAAGCGGAAGGAGTCTCGGAGAAAAGAACGAGGAAACGATGCCAGAAAGCGGGAGGACGATATTCGTGGCGGCTGAGCGGCGCTCTCAGGAAATCGACGACGATCGACGACACTGTAAAGCTCCGTTCCACGGGGAACATTGTAAGTCTCTGGTAACTAATGGCGGCGGCCGGTAAGATCGGTATCGGAGATGCATGATCGGATTTATGCGAGGCCAATATGGAAAGCCGTGCCGGCTATTGTGATAAGGCGGCGTGACGTCGACAGGAACACGCTAAACCGACCCTCTTCCTCCCCTCTCTTCGATTAGAATCGGGATTCCAGAGGCGCATACAAATTATTTTATCGATATCGATACATATTCGCCAAGGATACATCTACCGGCGCGACAGCTTTGAATTATGAATATTAACGTTGCACGGTCTTACTTGCAATTTCGAAAAGACAATTAATTACGATGCAAGTGGCTTGTTTAATGGGGCGAAAGAAAATTCCATGAATTCCCTGGTGATCTTTCGATGGAAATCGATCGAGACACGGTACGCAAAAGGATGGCACGTTTTATGCTTCGGAGGCGAGCGGTTTTCGAACGATGACAAGGCGCGATCTGTCGAGGCGAGACGCGGAAAGCGCATCGACCGCGCGAGATTATCGTAACGGCGACTCATCGAAATCTTTCCGCGTGAAAGATCGATCTTGGAACGAGCACGCTTCGATACTCGATCCTCGGCTCGTTCGATTCGAAGATGAAACGCGCGTGGAAGGGCACCGACGGCCACGCGAACGAA